TTGGCTTCAATGTCAAGTTGCCACACATTAGGATGACCTGAGTAAGCAGTTATACACGAGGAATTGACCTGATGGCCTTAAGTGATATGGGAAGGGGCACCCAGATCAAAAAGGGCATGGTGGTAGGAAGGCCACCGGCCTCCTGCTCACTTGGCCTTCACTCTTACGGCTGAGCTGACTTACCCTGTCTCTGCTGCCACCCATTCCCTTGCCCATATCAAACACATTTCAAGCTTCCAGTGTTGGCTGAGGACCAGCAGCACCCCAGGACTCCCCAGGTTTTCAGCGCCACACTGGGAGGGCTTAGGTGCCTAGCCTTGTGGACTAAGCTACTCCTGGTTCTGGGCCTCTCCAGTGAGACACCCACTGTGGGACTACTGAAACTTCTGGCCGTCCAGCCTCAGGGATCAAGCAACTGCCAAATGCTCAGCCTCTCAGGTGTGAGTCAGTGTCATATTTCAACATAAGCTGATTTAATAAATCTTTACACATATATGTACATACATTTTATATACCCATCCTTGAATTTTGATATTATACCTGTGAATTCTATGCCCCTTCCCATCACTTTTTAGCTTCATGACCATAAATATCTATAATTCACTTACCGATGAAGTATCTATAAAGCAGAGATAAGCCAGGCATAGTGGATTAGACATGTAATCCCAGTACTTAGGAGGTGAAGGCAGAAGGATCAAGAGTTCAAAGGCGCCAGGTGGTGATGTCACACACCTTTGATCCCAATGCTCAGGAGGCAGAGAATCTGATGCTCTCTTCTGACCCCAAGGGACACAAAACACATACATGGAAAAACACTCTAAACATAAGTAAATACAATTTTTAAAACTCCGTTATGGTTTTGAACTTGCTATTTCCACCTGGAAGAAGTCTTAAAATGATTGCCTTTGCTGGGTATGGTAGTGCACACCTTGTACCCCAGCATTCCAGAGTCAAAGGCAGGCAGATCTCTGTAAATTCCAGTCTAGCTAGGACTAAATTGTAATACTCTGCCCCTCACAAACAAACAAACAAACAAACCCAACTTATCTAAGGGCCATTTTTTACATTTTTTTTCTTTCCTTTAGACAGGTTCTCATGTATTTTAGCTGGCGTTGAACTTGACTTGTAGCCGAAGATAGAACTGACTTTCTGATTATTCTGCTCCAACTTCTGAGTGCTAGGACTATAGGTGTGTTTTACCATACAGGTTTTATATGGTGGTGGGGATCAAACCCAGTCTTTCCATGCTAGGCAAACACACTACCAATTGAACTATCCCCAAACTAAGAAAATATTTTACTTATTTATTTATATGTTTTGAGATGGGTTTTCTTTGTAGAAAACACATTTCTAAATAAATTGCTATCAAGGGACTAGAGAGATGGCTCAGCAGTTTAGAGCTCTTATGGCTCTTGTAGATGTCCCAAAATGAGTTCCCAGCACACACAGGAGACTCACAATCACTGTAACTCCAGTTCCAAGGATCCAACAACTCCTTGCTTCTGCACACACACGTCTCTGTATGCACACATGAACACATGAACTTATGCAGGCACACATCCAAACTCATATACACACAATCTCTTCTAAATAGGAATTCCAGTTACTAATTGTACAAGTAATAAACCATGACTGGCAGTCCTAGCTCTCAGATAGGGGTACCTCTGAGTTTAAAGTCAACCTGGTCAACATAGCAAATTCCATGTCAGCCATGGCTACATAGTGAGACCCTATCTCAAGACCTAGCTGGGTAGTGGTGGCTCACGCCTTTAATGGAAGCACTTGGAAGGCAACAGGATCTCTGTGAGTTTGAGGCCAGCCTGGTCTACTAAGTTCCAGGACAGTAAGAGCTACAAAGAGAAACCCTGTCTCAAAAAAAAAAAAAAAAAAAAAAAAAAAAAAAAAAACCCTTACTCAAACTGAGTATTTTGTTAGAATGATAGATAACAAAAGACAAGCAAAGAAGATCTCCTTAGTCCATACAAGTTCCCCAGTAACCCAAGCAGGAGAATTAAAATTCAGTGATCTCTGCCTAGCTCTCTCTAAAGAACAATAAAACACCAGAAATACAGGTAAGAGCTGGCTGCACCAGTGCCTGGCACAGCCTTTAGCTCTCAGTCCCCTGCCCCTACCTCCAAAGTGCGGGATTACAAGGATGCACCGCCATTTCCAACTGTGTTCTTGATTTCAGGAACTCCTCATGGTAAGGTGGCTCAGCTGTGACTTCTAATAACCTGAGTTCAAGTCCCACCCCCACTCATGCTTTATGGCATTCACATACAAAGTAAACTAACAAACCTAATAAAAGAGAAAACCTTTGTACGCATCATTTGGACATATAAAATGTTTTAAAGTGTACACTTCAGCAGATGGACCTCAAGTATACAATTCAGTGTTTTATCTTATTTTTGGTATGTGTTTTATTTGGGGGGATGGGTAGAAGTGCTGTACGCATGAGTGTTCATATACCCACACATGTATGTGTGAGGCCAGAAGCCAGCATCAGATGCTTTCTTCTATCACTCTCCAGCTTTCTTTTTTCTTCTTTTCCCTTTCTTTCTTTTTTGTTTTGTTTTTGTTTGTTTGTTTGTTTGTTTGTTTCTGGTGAGACGGGCACTCTAATTGAACCTGGACCTCATTTTGGCTAGAGTGGCTGGCAGTGAGCCCTGGAATTTACCTGTCTCTGCTTCCCAGAGCTAAGGTAGTAGACATGCTGCCATGCCTGGATTCTGTGTGGGTGCCAGGACCTGAACTTACATCATTAAGCACTTTATCAACCAAGCCATCTCCCCAGCCTGCTTGTTTCTGGGACAAGCCTAACTATCATAGAGCTCATGTCAACCTGGGCTACATAGTAAGTTCTAGTCCAGCATGGACTACGGAGTGAAACTGTCTCAAAGAAAAAGATGTTTTCGCTGGGCAGTGGTAGGTAGTGGCACACGCCTTTAGTCCCAGCACTCTGGAGACAGAGGCAGGTAGATCTCTGTGAGTTTGAGTTCAGCCTGGTCTACAAGAGCTAGTTCCAGGACAGGCTCCAAAGCCACAGAGAAACCCTGTCTTGAAACACACACACACACACACACACACACACACACACACACACACGCACATGGAAGTTTTCAATTAAAAAAACTAAAATGGGAGGTTATTTTACATATCTGATTACTTTGTATGGCAACACACACACATATTCCAAATGTAGAGTACATTGTTTAGCATAATGTATGTATACACACACACACACACACACACACACATATATATATATATATATATGATAAAAATGTTTAGGGCTGGAGAGATGGCTCAGAGGTTAAGAGTACTGACTGCTCTTCCAGAGGTCCTGAGTTTAATTCCCAGCAACCACATGGTGGCTCACAGCCATCTACAATGAGATCTGGTGCCCTCTTCTGGCCTGTAGGCATACATACAGTCAGAACTCTGTATACATAATAAATAAATCTTAAAAAACATGTTTATACATATCAAGCACTCAACAGGTAATAGAATTTTTAAAAATGTTTATTGATTTTGATGTGCATGTGTTTTACCTGCATCTATGTCTGTGCACCACATGCATTCTCTGCCTGAAAAGAGCAGAAAAGAGCATCAGATCCCTGGACCAGGAGTTACAGGCAGTTGTGAGCCACCGTGGGGATGCTGGGAACTGAACCCTCCCAGGTCCTTTATAAGAGCAGCAAGTACTCTTTACCACTGAGCCATCTTCTCAGCCAAGACTGATAAAATTTTTAATAATAAGCATTTCCAAAGAAATAAATCACATACTGGGCATGTAACCCTATTACCCCGAGGCTGAAGCAGGAGTTCAAGGCCAGCCTGTACTGCATAGTAAGTCTGAGGCCAGCTTGAAGTGGAACCAGAGACCCTATATCCAAAAACAAACCAACCAAAAAGACTTAAGTCTTTCAATAATGGAATGGGATATCATCAGATAGTACATCACCAGCCATCAGCTTTGTAGGCACTCTTTCAGTGATGTTATAAAGGACTTCCTGCTGGGGTTTATAGAACAGTGGTAAGATGCATGAGGGTACAGGGTTGATCTCCAGTATCATGCACACAAAAAAAAAAAAAAAAAAAAAAAAAAAAGTCTCTGCCTTGACGGGAACTAAATCAATACATCAATTCTGAGGTCCTACAAACTGTGCAACATACACTGCCATGAAAACTTCCCTGATCTGTGACAAATGAGATGAAGAAATGCACTATCTTGTCTAGAAATGGGTATGAATGATGTGTGATTGAAATAATAGTGTGAGCCAGGAGGTGGTGTCACATGCCTTTAGTCCCAGCACTCGGGAGGATCTCTGTGAGTTCAAGACTAGCCTGGTCTACAAGAGCTAGTTCCAGGACAGCCTCCTAAGCTATACAGAGAAACTATGTCTTGAAAAACAAAACAAAAAAACAACAACAAAAAAAAAAAAAAGAAAAGAAATTAATAGTTCATGGGACCATTCCAAACCACTTGGTCTGGATTGCTGGCTAATTCTGGAACTGAAATCAAGTCAATTAAGATCAGTAAAAAGGGAAGCAGAGATGGAAGTGATTGGTAAAGCACAGGCCTGAAATGTCTGAAGCCCTCGGTTTGATTCCTAGCACTAAAAAGAAAGCTAATGGCACACAAGAGGAACACATTGGAAGCATTACTTCTCAAGTAGTTGCACTAATGTCTCCAGTACTTAATTATTCCACAGAGAAGCCTACACAGGCTGTAGCCAAAATCACGTGAGACTAGGGCTCTTACGAGGAGGTGGAATAATGCAGTCAGGAGACTGATTTTAGGGACTGGGGACAGACTAGTAGGCCAGGAAGACGGACAGGCTCCGATAGCCTCTGAAATAACTTTTTGCCTTTTTGTATCATCTACATCTCATAAAAATACTTAATGAACTTACCAGAAATATTCATTAGCAGTATTTATTAGATATTTATATTTTAAATTCTCTATTTCCAAGTATTCCCTTCATTGGCTTTTGGTAGGTTGAAAGACATGGCCGTCCATCCATTGTACCTTTACTTGTCTTCAAAACTCATCAGGGCCTGAACTGTAAAGAGACAGCAGCCAAGGATAAGTGACTACATGTATGTTTGCTAAAGGCCTTGCTTCCTGGGTTCTAGATTCCCACACAAATCTCGACTGTCATTTGCTCTACGCTACTTAAACCTACCTTCTCTTTACCATAAACGAGTTCATCAAGGTATGAGCTCTGCAGTCTTAGAAAAACAAATACCATTTATCTTCTCCATCTGCGGTTGCTAGATTTTATCTAGATATGTAAAATCATGCATGTATATGACATGAAAGGAAGTTGAGGGATAACCGCCTAGGGGACAATAGGAGCTAACAGAGACAGCAGGGCAGCTCAGCAGAGAAAGATGCCTGCTGCCCAGCCTGACTGTCCAAGTTCAGTTCTCAGAACCCATATAACAGAAGGGTAGAACCAACTCTCAAAAGTTGCCCTCTCACCTCTGCACACACACACTCCTCCACAATAAGTAAATAAGTGTTAAAGGGGGCATGGGGTAGCAGGAGGACTGAGAAAGGAAAGGTTAGAAATGTATGGGGGAAGCTGGGGGGAAGGACACATGCCTTAATTCCAGCACTTGGGGGCAGGGGCAAGTAAACCTCTCTGAGTTCAAGGTCAGCCTGGTCTACAGTGGGAGTTCCAGGATAGCCAAGACTGTTCCACAGAGAAACCCTATCTCATTAAAAAAAAAAAAAAAAAAAAAAAAAAACGAAAGAAAGAAAGGTATATGGATATGCTGAAGATCTAATGGACACTTGTGTTAAAGTGTCAATCATGATTTTTTGAAGATCTGGATTCTGAGCTGAGTGTGATAAAGCACACCTCCTTCAAGCACTAAGGGAAGAAGAGGCAGGGAGATCTCTGAGAATTCATGGTCAGCCTGGTCCACAGAATGAATTTCAGGCCAGTCACAGCTACGAGGTGAGAACCTCCTGTCTCAAAAAGAAGAAAGAAAAAAGAAGTGGAAAAGAGGGAGGAGAAGGAAAAAAGAAAGGAATGAAAGGAAAGAAAGGAAGGAAGGAAAGGGAAGAAAGGGCAGATGGACAGACAGACGGAAGGAAGGGGAAGAAAGGGAGGACAGATGGACAGACAGATGGAAGGAAGGAAGGAAGGAAGAGGAAGGAAGGAGAGATGGACAGACAGAAGGAAGGAAGGAAGGGGAAGAAAGGAAGGACAGATGGACAGACGGAAGGAAGGAAGGAAGGAGAAAGGAAGGACAGATGGACAGAAAGAAGGAAGGAAGGAAGGAAGGAAGGAAGGAAGGAAGATTGGAACAGATGTGTCAGTTGATTGCTGGGATTTGAGGTCACCCTGGGTTATATAGCAACATAGTGAAGACTAAGAGTGAGATCCTGATTCACAAAACAAAACCTATTTCTTCCTTCCTCCATCTTGTCTCTCTCTACCAAGATAGGGCCAAGAATGACTGAAAAGAAGAGAATTAACCTCAGATAACATTTTAAGATAGACAGAAACCATCTTTGATATCCTGCCCTGAATTCCATGGCACAGCATGGAAATCAATGACAACTTTCAGAAGTTGGTTCTTTCCAACCAGCTGTCAGGCTTTGGAAGCAAGTGCCTGCACCCACTGAGTAATTTTGCTGGCTCCTAAATGTTATACATTCCTATGGCTGTTCTGTGTCACAATGCACACATGTATATTCACATATAAATCTTGCTGCTTAATTTAATTCTTAGTTTCAACTAGGTCCATTTCAAAAGTATATGAGGCAAAAAAGAAAGAAAGAAAGAGAGAAGAAAAAGAAAAAACTCAGAGGACAACACTAACCAATATTTAAAATGTTAAAAAAAAAAAAAAAAAAAGAGGCTGGAGGGCTCAGTGGTTAAGAGCACTGCCTGTGTGCTCCTGGTTTTGATCTTCAGCACCAGGTGGCAGTTCACATAGACTGTAACTCCAGTCCTTTGGCCTCTGGACAAGCACACACGTCGTGCAGAGGCATACATGAAGACAGAACACTCACACACATAAAACTAAAGGAAACTAACTTTTAAATGCTATTTTAAAAGAAGGAGGAGAAAAGCTGTTCTTACTTAACTCACAGTTTAGGCTTTTTGTGTCTGTGTGAGCATCTTCCTTTCATCTCCTCCTCCTTTCTTAAAGGAATTTTATTAATTCAAATTAATAACCAAATGATGACATGAAGGAAAAATTATTTGGAGCAGTTCCACTGTTTAGGTCACATACTTCTCTCTCAGGAGGCTGATGCGAGTAAGAGCAGCCTGTTCTTGACATCTTCTGAGGATGGAGTAGTGGTTACGTGGGGGGTTTCTAGTTTAGCTCTCCAGTGTGGCCCTGGGCCCTACTGCTCAGGATGAAATGTGGCCTTCCAAGAGAAGGGGATCTGTTGCACAGCTCAGCAGGGACCCACCTTGGCCTGATTGTCAACAATACCAATTTAGTAATATCCTCTTGGGAATCAAGTTTCCAGACACTGTAAGAATTGAGTGCCCCCTAGTGGACATGCCAATTTTTAGCTCTTTTCTAAGTTACTGATTAGGAGTATCAAGAGTAATTGAGACTAAGGAGCTACTTCCATATACTTAAAACTCCTGGATACCAGGACTGGCCTTAAGTCCTCACCTGCAAATTCTTGCAACTTCTTGCGCTCCTCTAAGTTATACTGAAGCTTTTCCAGTAACTCAAAATATCGGAAAAGTGAATCTCTGGGCCAAACAACACGGTCATCCTGATCCATATCCATTAACCCAGGCAGGTTTTCATGCACAAGAGTCTCCCAGTCCAACTTATCTGTAAGGAAGAATAGTTCTTAAAAACATGTCCAGGCTGGGGAAGGGACTAGGTTCTGCCCCAAATGATATGACAGACTTTGAAAACTCCCCATGGAAGGAAGGCCTCACCCTCCCTGGAGAGCAGAAAGGGGATGGGCTGGAGTTTGGTGGAGGTGATAGGGGAGGATGGGAGGGTAAGGGAACTGGGATTGATGTAAAACAACCTTGTTTCAAATTCAAATAAAAATTTAAAAATTTAAGAAAAAAGAAAGTTCAAAACAAAACATATCTAGGCGAGGGAGGGAACTGGGATTGACATGTTAAAGAAAAAAAAAATATATCTAGGCCAGGCCAGATGTGGTGGTATGTACCTGCGATCCCAGAGCCTTGGAAGGCTGAGACACTAGGCTTGCTAGGGCTATATAGTGAATTCTAACATAGCTTAGGCTACAGTGTGAATGTAAAAGGGAAGGAAGGGAAATTAGAAAGAGGAGCAAGCAGTGACAATATGGATGTCTTATGCATCCCTACCCTCCCATCATCTAGAGCATAAGGCATGAGCACTGAGGGTTTTAAGTCATCGTGGGCAACAAAACAATGGCTGTGGTCCTCTTAAGCAAGATGAACAAATATGAATTCAAATGGAAGGAACCATTCTGCTTACCATCATAATCTAAGTCAACTAAAAAGGAACTGTAGGAGGTTGAAGAAGAGGAGGAGGAGGAAGAAGAAGAAGAGTAGACGTTGGTTTTTGATGATTTTTTTTGTCCTTTTTCAGCTTCATCCTTCTCAGCATCATCTACCTCAGCACCACTCCTCTCGGTATCACTCCTCTGGGCATCACTCCTCTGGGCATCACTCCTCTGGGCATCACTCCTCTGGGTATCACTCCTCTCAGCATCACTCCTCTGGGCATCACTCCTCTCGGCATCACTTGTGTCAGAATCACTTTTTTCGGCATCACTGAGTTCAGACCCTTTAGAAGGTTCTAATAAATCTTCAGAGGCCTTTCCTTGACTTGTTTCTCTGTATATAAAGAAATAAAATTTATTGCTTCAAATATACTTGCAAGATGTGATAGTCCATTTCTTATGCTAGTCCTGTGCCTAATCATCCCTAAAGCTTTGATTTACAACTTTAAGAGCCAAACTAGTCTCCGACTCTAGGCTTAGGTATTTCCAAGCTCAGCCATCTCCAATGTATCTTTCTTGATTGTTCTCTTCCTTCTCATAGCAGTCCAACAGAAAATCCTGTTTTTTAATGTAAATCGCTTCATGTCATTGTTCTGCTCTGCTTCCATTTGCTATAAGTACAATTCTACAAGCCTATAATAATCTCTGTAGCCCTACAGAATTATGCTCCCATGCTGGGCTGGTTTGAACGAGCAATGTCTCTTGCTCTGGAATAGTCCTTTTACATGCTGTGAAGAGGTATTGCTCTCATAGCTAGGCAGGAAAAGGTTAGGTGGGAGAGCCAAACTAAGGGAATGCTGGGACAAAGGAGAGCAGAGTTGCCAGACAGTCACACGGGAAGCAGGAGATGAACATGCTGTGCTAAAAAGAGGGCCACCACGTGGTAGTGTAGATAAGAAATATGAGTTACTTTAAGTAGAAAGAGCTAGTTAGTAGCAAGCCTAAGCTATGGGCTGAGCATTTATAGTTAATAATAAGCCTTTGTGTGGTCCTTCGGAGAGCTGGTGGTGCTGTTTGGGAAGGGTATGGAAACTTTTGAAAGTGGAGCTTTGCTGGAGGAAGTGTGTCCCCAGGGACAGATTTGAAGAGTTCACAGCCTTGCCCCACTTCCGCTTCATGCTCTGCTTCCTGTTTACAGTTAAGAAGGCGACCTCTCAGCTTCCTGCTCTGGCCACCGGCTGCCATGCCTCCTCTGTCATTTTCCACTCCCTCTGGAAACATAAGCCAAAATAAACTCTTCCTTTACTAAGTTACCTTGGCCATGGCATTTTATCACAGCTGCAGAAAAGTAGCTAATATATAATCCATTATTTCTCTGACCTCATCTCCTGTCACTCTTTTTCTGCTCCTGTTACTATGGTCATTATTGTTTCTCAAACACATTAGGTGTGCTTCCAATTTAGGGTCTTTGTAACAGCTTTTATCTTTGCTACTAGCACTCTCACATAGATAAACCCATGACAATCTTATCACTTTTGTCAAGTCTTTGCTCACTTTATTTCTTTCAATGGGGATGTCCTAGTTACCCTTTTAAAACTACAACCATAGTCGGTCATGATTGGTAAAGGCAGGTATTACTATGTTCAACTCCAAATTTTAAGAAAATTAAGAAAAAAAAATCTCCATGAAAACAAAATAAACAGCCAGCCTGGTCTACAGAGTGAGTTCCAGGACAGGGTCCAAAGCTACACAGAGAAACCCTGTCTCGAAAAACAAAACAAACGAACAAAAAATCAGCCAGGTATGGTGGCACATATGTTTAATTCCAGTACTTGGAGGCAGAAGCAGGGAGATCTTCATGAGCTTGAGGCCAGTCGTCGAGTTCCAGGACAGCCAGGACTACACAAAGAGACCCTGTCTCAACAAAACAAATGAAACCCCACACCTTCACCTGTTCTCTGCTACCATGTTGTCCCTTGGTTTCCTAGAGAATCTTTGTCAATAATTTAGAACCTACTCAGATAACCCAGGATGACCCATTTCAAGATCTTTAGATTAGCCACACCGGCAAAGACCTCTTTTCAAATAAAGTCATATTGACAGGTTTTAGGGAGTTAGGACATGGATAGATAATTTGGGGGTGCCATGGATTCCCTCTCAAAGCATATTTTCATCTTTGTTGATTTCTACCATCTACTTCTCATAGTTCCATTCCAATTCACATACTTGCTCCTAACCTGCCATCCACATTGCCATTACTTTACCTTGCTGCTTCAGGGGACAGGTTTTGTCTTCTATAAAACAAAACAAAAAACAAAGCATTAAAATGAGAAAAAAAAAGCTACAACTCAGAAGAAATATAATAAAGAAAACAATTCAGATCTAAGGAATGAAGGGGAGTAGAGAAACCCCATAGTATATAAAGGAAAACTAGAATGGAGGCTTTTTTTTTTTTTTTTTTTTTTTCCTGTGTAGTTTTGGAATCTGTCCTGGAACCAACTCTGTAGACCAGGCTGTTCTCAAACTCACAGAGATCCACCTGCCTCTGCCTCCCAAGTTCTGGGGTTAAAGTCATGAGCTGCCATCACCACCACCCAACTGAATAGGGACTTCTTAACTCTACGCAAAAATAGGATCAAGGAAAAGAAACGGGAAATGAGTTGAGAAATAACATTGGGTTTGAACACACAGAAGCTGACCTCTGGATAATCTGTCGCTTGAATATGTCAGCCTTATACTGAACCTCCAGGTGGGTCATCTCCTCACTCAGCTCATTTCTGATGTTCTGAAAGTTAGTAACTGCCCCAAAGGGCCATTAGAAGTTGGAGGGTGGCAGTGACTAGACCAAGAACATGCATTAAGTGGGGAGAAACAATATCCAAACCTCCCTGCTATATGGGGTTCTTTCCCAATAGTCTACCAACTCCAAATGGCCAGTTTCTTCCCACCATCCCTCTTGCCAAGTTGCACCTTCTCTGGACTTACCCATCATGGCTACTATGATATTTCGAAAGATAATGGAGCCAAGCAACAACCAAAGGACCACATAGATGCTGCTAAATACACGGCTAGCTTCTGGTACCTTCCAGACATCCTGAAGTACTGCATACCAATGATCCAAGGTGAAGAGGATGAACACTGTCACCAGGGAATTTAGTAGGTCCCTAAAAAAGCAGAGGGGACATACAGAAGCATTGATCTAAACCTTTCAGAAACTGGCTTTTGTTTTGAGTCTCATATGCAGCCAAGGCTAGACTGGAATATTGTGTAGACAAGGCTGGAATTGAATTCACAGAGCTGAACTCCTGCCTCTGCTCATGGTCTCATTCTTAAGCACACAAGGGCATTTCTTTGTAATATGCTCTGATTTTTGGATCCTTTTCTATCACATTCTCGACAACCGTTCCTTAGTCTGAAAACACTTTTATTATGCTCCCCTTTCTCATGAATAACCTATAAATACCTATCAATATTCCATTAGTCCTAGGGCTGCTATTTTACCAATAAATACATAATAATTTCTTTTGTGTGAGTCTGTTTTTAATTATCTATTTATTTGTTTCATATGCTATTTTGCCTGCAGGTATGGCTATGTGAAAGTGTCAGACACCTTGGAACTGGAGTTACAGACAGCTGTGAGCTACCATGTGGATGCTGGGAATTGAAGCTGGGTCTTCTGGAAGAGCAACCAGTGCTCTTAACCACTGAGCTATCTCTTCATCACCCCCCCACCCCCGTCCTTTGAGACATGGTTTTTCTGTATAACTGTCTCAAACTCACAGATAAATGCCTGCCTGTGCCTCCCAAGTGCTGGGATTAAAGGAGTGTGCCACCCTGGCTCCTTACCAAATTCTTTATTTAAATTTTTTGCACTATCTTGTGTTATGTATGTGTGCATATACATGCCACTGCCCAGATGTGGAGCTCAGAGGATGTCTTTCAAGAGTTGGTTCTCTCCTTCTACCATGTAGGATTGATCAGATTGTCTGGCTTGGTGGCAAGTACCCTTATTCATTGGGCTGTCCTGCTAGCCCTAACTGAACTCTTAAAAGACAAATAAATCACCAACTAAAACCTTTTTTTCTAAGCGCATGCTCTACAAGTCTATTAATTTGTTTGTATATGAGTATTTTACATGCGCATGTGTGTGTGTGTGTGTGTGTGTGTGTGTGTGTGTGTGTGTGTGTGTACAACATGTATGCTTGGTGCCTGAGAGGGCTGGAAGAGGGGACGTATTGTTTATGATCTAATAAAGCCACTGGAGATCAGTTTGCAAAGCCAGCCACAACAGTTAGCTATAGAAACTAGACAGTGGTGGTGCACACCTTTAATTCCAGGACTCGGGATTAAGAGGCAGACTGATCTCTGTTAGTTCAAGGCCTCCATGACCTACACAAGAGTGAAGAGTAACAGAGCTCAGGCCTTTGATCCCAGCACTAGGGAGGTGGAGACAGGAGGATATGGCTGGGAATAAAAGGAGGATGAGACAGGAATTCAGAGCCTTTTGCCTCTGAGAATTTGTGGAAACAGGGTTGCCATTTCAGCTTGGTAAAGGTAAGATCTACAGGCTTGGCTGCTTTACTTTTCTGATTTTCAGCTTGAAGCTTGAAGCCCATTATCTGTCTCTGAGTCTTTTATTTTTTCTGTTACAGTTATGAGCCACTATTCGGATGCTGGGAATCAAACCCAGGTCGTCGAGCAATCAATGCTCTTAACTGCTGAACCATCTCTCTAGTCTCTAGATCCTCTTGTTTTTTTTTTTTTTTTTTCCTTTTTGTTTTGTTTGTTTTGTTTTGTTTTTTCTGTTTTGTCATTCTACATGCATATCAAAAGAGAGTCCAATCTCCTGAGTTTCAGGATAGCCTGAACTACATAGTGAGACCCTGTTTCAAAAAAAATGATCTGAAGCCAAGTATGTTGGTGCATGCCTTTATTCCCAAAACTTAGGAAATAGAGAGGCAGGTAGATCTTTGCTAGTTCCAGGCCAGTCAGAGGTAAATAGTGAAACCCTGTCTTCCCCTATCACCACCCTGGGATTCAAGACCCTAGGGTCTATAATTAAATTTATTATTTATTTAACAAACAAACAAATAAATAAATAAAAGTTTAGAGGTGTGCTCATAGTGTATATTGTCATACAGCACTTAGAAAGTGGAAGCCGCAGAATCAAGGCCATCTTTTATTATATAGCTAGTTTAGAGACTAAACAAAAAAATTTTTTTAACTACACAAAGATGTGTTGCATTTGTTTAACTATGTAAAGATGTGTGGCATTATTTAACTATGTAAAGATGTATTGCATTTGTTTATGTTGCAGGATATTTGTTTAGCTATATAAAGATGTGTTACTGTTTTACCTTGCCTGTCTAAGGCACCTGAATGATCTAATAAAAAGCTGAATGGCCAAGATTGAGGAGGAAGTACAGCGGGAACTTTTAGATAGGGAGAGTAAGTGGGAGGAGGAATTTAGGCTTGGGGAAGGAAAAAAGGAAGAAAGGAAAAGAGATGCTATGGAGATGCAGGAATCAGCTAGCCAGACACAAGGGAAACAGGAAAATAGGACATACAGAATGAAAGAAAGGTAAAAAGCCCGAGGCAAAATGTAGATGAATAGAAACAGGTTAAATTAAGCTAAAAGAGCTAATGGGACAAGCCTAAGCTAAGGCCAAGCATTCATAGTTAATAATAAGTCTATGTGTCTTTATTTGGGAGCTAGTTGGCAGCCCAAAGAAAATTCCAACTCCACTTGCTTCAAAAATAAAACAAACAAAAACAGTCTGAGAAATACTGAATTATATAATAATCACAATATTTGGGAAGCTGAGGCAGGAGACATGCCATGGCCAACCTGGGTTATAAAGAAGAATGCTGTCTCAAAATAAAATAGAACACAAACACCTTTGAGATGTTACAAAGACTAGATTCTAGTTTGGTGTATTAGTACACACTTACAAGAGTTCAAAGGGCAGCCTATGCTATATAGCTGTGTTCCAGGTCAGATCAGTTTAGCAAGAACCCATCTTTACAAAAAAATGAAAAAAGGTTAAATGCTTGGGACGTAGCTCAGTGGTAGAGCACTTGTCTAGCATGCACATAACCCTATGTACAAGTTCCACTAATACAAGAAAAAGAAAAGGAAAAGGAAAAATGGCAGAAGCCATGCTGTCACCCGTGGGAATGGCACATAGGTGTGTTGCCTTAGATGGCAAGGCCCTTTGGAGAATCCCATCCATTTGGCAAGGACCTATGGATACAATACTGCAAATTCCTGCACTGACCTTGGGGACCACATGGGTTTCAGGTTTCACTAACTTTCGCTATGCTTATTCTTATGGAAACTCTTAGTTTTGCCTTGATAATCATGATTATGCCTGAGTGTATACTGGGAACAAAAAGCTTTCATAGAAAAACCAATTTCTCTGGATCTGTTACAGAAACCAGATTCTCCAGTTGTTCCTTTGCTGCCTTTACAGTCGTCCTGAATAAGCAGGCGGAACTTCCTAAGGTTAATGATGATTGCTTATTCTATACCAAAAAGAGATAAATATATTCCAAATAACATAAGAACCAAGAAGACGGTTTCTTAAAAGATGACATTAAAAACCTTATAGAAACAAAGAAGGAAAAAGGGATAGGACAAGAAAGGCCAGACATTTTTTCTGGCACTAGAATATGAACACTCAGTCTTCCAATATCAAAGGATCAATAAAGAAATCTAAAACTTCTAGTTTTAGGCATTTAGAAATTCCCAGAAAGAACAAAGAAACTTAGTCTCCATAGATAAAGAGTTAGCTGTTTGAGAACTTATAAAGAACAGGATTATAACTGTAATCCATATAATATAGTTGACATATAGATTACTCAGAAACTGATATACACCTGAAAATGATACTCTAGGCATCACAGTATATTTAGCTGATTTGATACAGTTAAGAATTAATCACTGGGCTCAAATTTCTTACTTTGGAACCACATGTTTGCAGTCAGCTAGGTTACAGCACGAATAAGATGTACCTAGCTAGAGATATTTGGCTTGCTATATATAATGATAAGGGGTAAAGGTCAATGACATCAAGGGAGAGGGAAAGAAGAGAAACTAAAGTGTTAATGATTCTTGGAAAATGATGAAAGAGAAATGCTTTGAAATTGCTCATGCTTGAATTCATTAGCACCTGTATAAATAAAGACGGCCTGAACTAGTCGGGGCCATCCGTTTGAAAGATAACTGGTCAGATTCCTCCTGTTTCACCAACCTCACACATCCTTCCTGCAGCACAAGAACCCTGCTGGAGCTGGACTCCAGAAGAAAAAAGAATGGGTCCAAGTCAATAAACTCAAATGGGCTTTCTTCTAGCAAGGAATGTTTTTGATATACATCTCTTATAAGGATTTTATTTATTTATTGGCTTTTTTGTCATGTTGCTGAGAGTGACTTTGAATTGATCCTCTATCTCCATTTCCTAAATGCTGAGATTTCAGGAATGTGCCATCACAACTGGTTAGGATTTTACTTTTGAATGAGAACAGATATATATCTGTGTAACACCCACACTTAAAGGCAATGGTCAAACTAGTGACTACAGCAACATTTAATCATTTGTTATGTGTTAAACACTATGCTAAATGTTTAGATGCAATGCCTCATTTGTCCCCATACTCTTTTGAGGTAGTACTGCTATTACTCCTATAGTGTGAGTGCTGTTGGGGGCATGTGTGCCACAGCACAGATATGGAGGCCTTTCTGGAGTGAGTTCTCTTCTTCTACCTTTATGTGGGTTCCAGGGATCTGACTTAGCTCACTAGACTTGCATCACAACTGCTTTTACTTTCTACACCACTTTGCCAACTCTATTCTCTTTCTCAATAACAAAAACAATCTTATAGCATTTGTATCACCTGATAATAACATAACAGCCACCAAAACAAAATGAATAAATGTTTCAGACTGTGGTCCTGTAACTCACACTGTAGACCAGGTTGGCCTTGGACTCCCTGAGATCCACCTGCCTCTACCTCCCAAGTGCTGGGTTTAAAGGCATGCAGCACCACCACCACCTGGCAAGGAGACCCCTTTTTAAAAAAGCAGAGTACAGTGTACAGAGTACACACCGTAATTCCGCACTTGGGGAAAAGGCAGGAAGATCTCTGTGAGTTCAACCTGGTCTCCATAGTAAGTTCCAGGATAGCCTGGGCTACATAGTGAGACCCAGTCTCAAGAAAACAAACAAAACCATTGTACTTCCTTCTCAACTTCTTGACCATTTCTAGTTGAAAACATTTTTTAGAAGAATGATATCACCTTCTTTTAACATAATCTGGCCCAGTTTTCTTGCTATTGTTTTAGAATGGATTTCCTCTGCATCACAAAACAATGATGTTTATGTACTCATCAAGGTCGATAACACAAACCTCTAGCCCCACATTCAGCTGCTCACACAGCCACACCTGAATCTGAAGATGAGGTTGGTGGGCTTCACCATCACCTTCAGCACCTTCTGTCCCTGGCCTTGGTACCCCATGGTGGAAGTCACAAAGATACCTTATAGTTTATATTCTTAAATTTATTTTCTAAGTTGTTGTTTATTTTATGAATCTAGGGAAAGAATTTAGGGCCTTGCATATGCTAGATAAGCACTCCACTACCACTGAGCTACATCTCCACGAAAAAAAAAAATTGGTTTTTTTTTTTTGTTGTTGTTGTTTTTCAAGACAGGGTTTGCTGTGTAGCTCTGGAACTCACTTTGTAGACCAGGCTGGCCTCAAACTCACAGAAATCTGATTGCCTTTAAATCCCAAATGCTTTGCCACAATGCAAGGACAGAATTTTTCTTTATTTCATGTGTGTGCACGTATGTATGCAGGTATCTGCTTGGGCCACAAGGAGCACTGGACCTCCTGAAGATTGTTGTAAGCCTGGTATCAGTGCTGGGAACCGAGCTGGAGTCCTCTGCAAAAACAGCAAAGATTTAAACCCTGAGCCATCACTCCAGCTCCTACACCTCTTTTTAAAAACAGGGTCTCCAGGATAGCCTGGAATTCACTTCGTAAACTGGACTGGCCTCGGACTTTTGGATAATTCTTCTGCTTTTGCTTTCCTGAACACATTACAAGTATATGTTACCATACCCAATCTGACACTGTTTTAGAGATAGGGTTAATTAGGGAGGCCTTGAACTTGTGATCCTCCTGCTTTAACACCCTGAGTAGCAGGGATTACACACATAGGCCATGAAATCTAGCTCCATTTTTCAGAAGAGGTAACTGAAGTCTGGGGATGTGGTTCAGTTGGCAGAGTGCTTGCCCAGTATGTACGAGATTAACCCTCCACACCCTGTAACAAGCATAGTGGTATACACCTGTAATCCCAGCACTGGAGAGGTGAAGGCAGGATGATCAGAAATACTGCATAGCAAATTTGAGGCCAACTTTGGAATTGAGAGACACTCTTTTGTCTCTCAAAAAAACAAAACAAGGTAACTGAATTGCAAACCCAGGCTACCTATTGGAGTATACTATACTGTATTTAAAGGTACTAGACGATAAAGTGTTTTATCTACTTTATTTGTCCAGAATGGAGAAGAAAGACCTTATCAAACTAAAAACCTTTTGTACAGCTAACAAGAAAATTAATCCACAGAATGGGTGTGGTTGGCTTGAATGAAAATGGCCCCCATAGGCTCATAGGGAATAACACTATGTGAAAGGATTAGGACACATGGCCTTGTTGGAATAGGTGTGGACTTATTGGACGAAGTGTGTCTTCCTCCTGCTGCCTGCTGGTCCAGGTGCAGGACTCTCAGCTACCTCTCCAGCAATATGTCTGCCTGCACGCCACCATGTTTCCAGCCATGATGATAATGGACTAAATGTCTGAAAGTGTAAACCAGTCCCAATTAAATGATTTCCTTTATAAGAATTGCCATAGTCATGATTTCTCTTCACACAGGCTAAGACAGTGGGAGAGAATCTTTGCTTACTATACTTCTGACAGAGGATTAATATACAGACTATATAAAGAACTAAAAAAAATAGAGAGGCAAGAAGACAAATGACTCAATTACAAACATGGGCTATGGGGCTGGAGAGATGGCTCAGAGGTTAAGAGCACTGGCTGCTCTTCCAGAGGTCCTGAGTTCAATCCCTAGCAACCACATTGTGGCTCACAACCATCTGTAATGAGATCTGGTGCCCTCTCTGGCCTGCAGGGATACATGCAGACAGAACATTGTATACATAATAAATAAATAAATAAAATCTTTTTAAAAATGGGCTATGGATCTGAACAGAGAGTTCTCAATAGAAGAAATAAAAAATAAAATAAAATAAAAATAAGAAATATCTCAAAAAGGCTTCATCATTCTTAGCAATCAGGACAATACAAATTAAAACAACTTTGAGATTTTATCTTACCCTAGTCAGAACAGCTAAGCTCAACAAACCAAACAGTAGATGTTAGCAAGGATGTGGGGAAAAGGGAACCCTAATTCACTGTTGGTGAGATTGCAAACTGGTACAGCCACAGTGGAAATTAATGTGGAGAACCCTCAAAAAGCTAAATATAAATCTACCATGTGACCCAGCTATACCACTCCTTGGCATATGCACAAAGGACTCAGTGCCTCCTTTATAGACACTTGCTCAGTCTATTCATTGCTGTTATATTCATAATAGCTAAGAAATGGAAACAACTCCAAAGTCCAGTAGATGAATGAATAGTGAAAATATGGTACATAAACACAATGGAATAATATTCAGTTGAAAAGAAAAATGAAATCATGGAATTTTCAGGTAAACGGATGGAACTAGAAAAAAAAATATATTGAATGTGGTAAAGGAAAAACAGGGGTGAGGGGGTAAATTAGGAAGAGGTAAGGAAGGCAATAAATACAGGAGGAGAGGGAGGGAAAAGGGACATGCTCTGGAACAATGTTTTTGTACACTATGAATATATGTTACTCTTATTGGCTAATAAAAATCTCATTGGCTGGTAGCTGGACAGGAAGATATTGAGTGCAAGAATCAGAGTAGAATTCTGAAAAGGACAGAGTCAGAGAGTCACCAGCAAATGCAGAGAAGCAAGATGAGAATGCGGGACTGAGAAAAGGTACCAAGCCACATGGCTAACCATAGATAAGAATAATGTGTTAATTTAAATGTGAGAGTTAGCTAGAAACAAGCCTGAGCTATCAGCCGAGCATTTGTAAATAATATTAAGTCTCTGTGTGGTGATTTGGAAGTAGATGGAGAGCAGGTGGTCAGGACTGGAACACTACACTTTACAGGAACAAATAACCCTGAGGATATTTGATAAAGCCTCAGGAATCATGTTATTTTATATTTACCTAAAATTATATAATATGCCTAAGCGTATATGTATACACAGCTTAAATGAAGTGATGCCACTTTGGCTGACAGTGTCCCCCACAAGAGCCATGGACAAAACCCAGGCATGAGAAATTTTCATCTGAGATGTTGGTCAGGGTAGTCCAAGTGACTCCCAAGATAGTATAAACTATTGTTGCTGTCCTTGGTTGCCTCTCAAAAGTGGAGAAGTCCTTATTGCTGAAGACATGATACACTTCAGTCACAGGACTGAGAAGATTTGAGCTGTATCTAATCTGAAAACTGTCTTCCTGCAGTCTAACTTCCATAATACCAAGGAAGGAAGGCTATTAGTAGTCTTATCCAACTGTGATACCCATGAGCCACAACCATGACCAACATGGTAAGATGTCCCTAAAGGTGTATAATGGCACTCAAATCTTGGAGGTAACCAACAACTGCCTAATTTGACTTAAGGCCTGCTCAATGGGAGGCAAATCATGTTTGGAACTAGAAACCTAGCCAATGACATTGGGCTGGTGAGGTCATGGATCTTAGGAGGAAAACCTATAACCACAACTTTACTAGAACAGCATAATTCCTAACTGCATTTTAAAACCTATCCTTGTCCTCACAGATAAGTGTATCTCTTACCCTGCATCAAAGAAGCTTTTCTTTGCAGCAGACAGACACCATCACAGAAAACCAATAAGGCAGAGATCAACTGATCATGGGGGCCCAGCCCTGATGGATTTCTATCTCTACAATACAGCTCCTGCACCTAAGGTTCAGGGAACATTGCACAAGAGGAGGCAGAAGGATTTTAAGAGCCAGAGGACAACAAAGTCTGCTTTGAAAGTGCATCTCCTAGAAGTGACAGGGAAGCTACCAGAATAGCTCAGCAATATGGCTGCCTAGGCAAGACCTAAACCAATAGACATGCTAATGTGGAAGATGGAAATCTCAGAGGTCCCACTCCTAGGCAAGTAACTGATTGATGACTGCTGAGAGAGGGAGAATTAGTCTCCCATGGATGATCACCAGTTTATCCAATACAAAGTGATTAGCCCTGAAATCATAAACATACAAGCAACACTAAACAGATGCAATAAGTTGTGTTTACATATTTGCACCATATATATAGCAATAATAATTTAAAAAGGGACAGTCAATTTGAGAGTGGAGGAGCAAGAGAGAAGTTGGGGAGAGGGGACATGGGAGAAGTTACTGAGAGGAAGGGAATAGGGAAAGTAACACAATTATACTTCAATTAAAATTTTCAAAACACTTAAAAAACAAACAAACCAGAACCAGTTGTCTAGGCCCAACATCACAGCTAGCTCTACCGACTATGCCTGTTTCTCCTTTCTGCTCTTTGTATTCTGTCCCACTGTCTTACAATAGACTCTAGTATTTGTATAGCTGTGCTTTGGCCGAGCATCTCAGTGTGACACAAACCTCTCCCCTCATGAAGGTTGCCCTCAGCAATGCTTACGAGAAGAACATGTTGTACTCCAGGTCCTCGATAGTTGAACGGGAATAGTCTTCAAAGAAGTAGACACCGGTTACAGCAAAAATGTAGAAGAAGATAAGCAGCAACATCAAGAGGAACGTCATGCTCTAGGGGCCATGATCCAAATCAGGTGTAGGTAAGGCAAGGCTGAGCCCCACAAGCAGCCCGGTCGAGCCCACCCAGCCAACTCCCACCAAATCCAGAGCAAGCATATCTCTAAACCACAACAGTTAATTTTTTTAGGTTCTGTATATTAACTTGTTCAAATATAAGAAAAAAAATGGGATAAAGTTAGTGCTTACCTCTTGAGTTGTTACAGAACATAAAGAAAATAACCCACATAAAATATTTAAAATAGCAGCTGGCCCTTTGTGCTCAGTAACTGGCAGATATTATTTTAGAAATTAATGCTCCTAATAACATACAAATGTTCTCATACAAGAACATTTCATAGAACCTCTCATGACCTTCTTTGACCATATTAAATATTAAACCCCTGTCTTTTTATCTAGTCCCCCATCCCACTTTAAGTTAATCAGTTTAAATCACCTTCAGGGCCCTGACCAGAGCCAATATAATAACTTTAATTTGACGAAATCGTGCAAACAGTTTGAGAGATCTCAGCACCCGGGAGATCCTCAGCAGCTGGAGCCATACAGACTTCCCCGAGACGCCCATCAACACCACAAACTCAGGAAGCACAGACTGCGGGAGACACGGGCAATAAGTAAAGGTACCCAAAGAACCCAGGCACAATCGCCCCTTTTCATCCCATCTTCTCCATACTTTTCTGGGTGTTATCTTTGAGTAGCATTCTCTGGGGACTGTTTACTATTTAGTCTTTTTATATTAACCTACTTAAGCTCTGCACTTCAACTTATTTAGATATTTAAGAAAATGGGATAAAATTTGTGCTTATCTCTTGAGTTGTTACAAAACATAAAGAAGATAATCCACATAAAATATTAAAATAGTGTCTGGCACTTTGTTTTCAGTAACTTGCAGATGTTATTTTAGGGATTTATGATCGTAATGACAACCATTTCTGCAGTTACTTTTAGTTTTAAGTGGAAAAAAAATCAAAGCAACAAATTCATTAAATTTCTATATATTCCTTCCTGGAGGTTTTAGATAACCTAATTTGCCAAGGCTGGTCCCATTAACTACTCCTAAGGATATTTATCCTTACCAACATGGTAACAGCAAAGTCAAAGACATTCCAGGCATTTTTCCAGAAGAGAGAAAAGCTGGACATCCACATTAGAATGATTTCTAAAATGAAACTAAATAAGATAAACCAATCTGCCACCTCCAAAGTCAGCTTCAATGGCCAAAGCTTAGTATTTGTGGATTCCATCAATTCTGTAAGGTAGAGCAAGGAAGAAACGAAAATTACGTGAGAAGCTGAATAATGAAGGATGATTACTCATAAACCAGAGTTGTGACCACTACTCCATTTCTCTTGGATGTCTCTGTCTTTTATAGTTTTTAAAAAAAGTATATGTATATTTTGCCTACATTTATGCATGTATGTATATGTACCACATGTGCTACTTCCCAAAGTCAGAAGAAGGTGTCAGATCCCCTGGAACTGGAGTTACAGATCATTGTAAGTTACTATGTGTAAGAATTGAACCTGTATGCTCTACAAGAGTAACAAGTGCTATTGCTTCAACCTATGTGATATATCACCCATAAAACAGCTATACTTTGCCTCTTGTTACTGGTATAAGTAACAGCTGCAAGTCACTTACAACCCATTCTACAGTTACGCAGCCCCTACAGAATGTCCCCTTTACTATTCTCCAACCATATTGTTTGTCCTAAAGTTTATAAGAAAGCAATAGGTTTTGTAAACAGAGTGAAAACATAGAAATATGATATAAAATCTTTTTTAAAAAATTAAGCTTCTACCTGAGCAGTGGTGGCCATGACTTTAATCTTAGCACTTGGTAGGCAGAGGCAGGTGGCTCTCTGTGAGTTTGGGGCTATCCTGGTCTACAGAGTGAGTTCTAGGACAGGCTCCAAAGCTACAGAGAAATCCTATCTCAAAAAAACAAAACAAAACAAAACAAAAAAGAAATAAAAATTAAACTTCTGAATAATTTCAAAGGCACCTTTTACACTGATGTGTCCTAGGATGACTTTTACTTCTTAGTGGTAAATAAGAAGTGTATTTCACCAATAATGACAGCTTAAATTCAAAATGATTGTTCTGGGCCAGCAAGGGGGCTCAGGGAGTGGAGTGCTTACTGCCAAGCCTGACAGCCTGAGTCTGATCCCCAGAGAAGAGAACACTGACTTCTGCAAGTTGTCCTCTGACCTCCACACTTAAGCCATGACACATGAACCTACACACACACACACACACAAGTAATTAAACAAGCAAACACACTCAATTCTGGCTCCCAGAAGCAGGGGGTCACAGTATTAGAAGGCACTGAGAACCACATTTAAGTCTGGAAAACAGAATGCAATGTTTATTCAGTTTTGCCTTCACAAACAGAATTTTTATAAAGAAGAGTGATGTAACTTGGGGGTGGAGAGACAGCTTATTGGTTAAAAACACACAGTTGTCTAAAACTCAGCTCTAAGGCCCACACACAAACTTCTTTTTAATATTTATGTATTATGTATACAGGGTTCTGCCTGAATGTATGCCTGCAGGCCAGAAGAGAGCACTAGATCTCATTACAGTGGCTGTGAGCCACCATGTGGTTGCTGGGAATTGAACCCAGGACCTCTGAGCCATCTTTCCAGACAGAGACTCTTCTTAAAAAAAAAAAAAAAAAAAAAAAAAAAAAAAAAATGGGAGGGGGTTTCAAGACAGCCTTGGTTGTCCTGAACTCATTCTGTAACTCACTCTGTAGACCAAGCTGGCCTCTGACTCACAGAGATCCACTTGCCTCTGCCTCACAAGTGCTGGGATTAAAGGTGTGTGCCACCACCAGCTGGCTAAAAAGTTTTTTTAAGAAGAACAATAAAATGGTTTGTGGTTTAAAGAGTTTTGGAAAGAGGAATCTGATTAAAAAGCAGCAAATCTCTTACATGCTGGAAAAAGAACTGAAGAAACGTCAGAAGAACAAACAGCAGAAATTGCCTCTGTGAGACAGAATGTGCAGGGTGACCATCACCAACGCTGCATCAGCTAATAAAATAAAAGTGTACTGTCTGGAGATGAAAATGTGACTCTTCTTTCATTCTACTGCTAGGAGAATGAGGCAGGAGGATGAAAAGTTCAAAGGCAGCTCAGATTACACAGAGAACAAAGGCCAGTTTAGACTCTTCAGTGAGACCTGGGGACAAAATAAACCAGATCTTATGCTGCACTCCTTTAAAGCCTGGTTTACATTAAAAAACAAAAACAACCAAACAAAAAACAAACTCAAGATGAGTGCTAAACACCTTGGGGGGTGGTGGGTGTTAAGAAGCAGGATTGAAAATGAGGACAACTGTGGCTACATAGGAAGTTCCGGGCTAGCCTGAGCTACATAGCGAGACCCATCTCTAAACAGTAACAAGTATCAGCAGTTAAGAGCACTTACTGCTGGACTGGAGAGATACCTCAGTGGTTAAGAGCACTGACTGTCGTGAGTTTAATTCCCAGCATGTACATGGTGGCTCAAAACCATCTGCCAAGATCTGGTGCCCTCTTCTGTCCTGCAGGCATACTTGCAGGCAGAACACTGTATACATTATAAATAATCTTAGAAAAAAAAAAAAAAAAAAAAAAAAAGAACCCCAGCACTGTCAATTCAGCAGATTTAACCACTGCAGTTAATTCTTGGTGGACATTCTTCCTCAGGAGTAGAAGGCAGGAATTTAGTCAGATAGGCCAGGCAAAGTAAGACAAGGTGGTTTTGATATATGCAGTCATCTGTTGCAATTCCATATTACACAACAGCACAACAGCAACATCAGTCACTTTACAGAATACCAGGTAAACTCACAGTGGTTGTAAGAAAAATCCAGCATTATGGAGCAGAATAGTACACTGTCATTTGATGTTTCACCAAAGTCAATTGCTGGGACTGGGGGAAAAAAAAAAAACCAACTAGTGATTCATGAATTCAAATAGTGCTTAGGATTGAAATAAATATGTTTTGCTTTTATTTTGTTCTGTTTTAATGTGCTGGGGACTAATCTTGGGGGTGTTCAAATGCTAGGCAAGCACTCTACCCTTGAACCAAACTACAAGCCCTAAGCATTTGGTTTTAAATAAGTAAGATTACAAGGGCCTGGAGAGATGGCTCAGCTATAAGAGCACCAGAGTACCAGGGATTTTATTCCCAGCAACCATTCAGAGGGCCACAACTATCTGTCACCTCAGGTCTAGGGACCCAGTGCCCTCTTCCGGCATCCATGGGCACTGCATGCACATGTATACATGCAGGCAAAACCACCTATACATACAAAATAAAATAAAAATAAATGTATAAAAGCAGATTGTAACAAAATAATTGATTTGGCCAAGTTACATAATATGAAAACAAGATAAGTAAAATCCTCAAAAATTAAGAAATACCATATGAAATATGAAATCAGAATAATAAATACTTATGGGGACTCACTTTTGGTTTTCTGTTTTTTTTTTTTTTTTTTTGAGACAGGGTCTCTTTGTGTAGCCCTGTCTATACTGGAACTCACTCTGTAGAGCAAGCGGGCCTTGAGCTCACAGAGATCTGCCTGCCTCTGCCTCCCAAGTGCTTGGATTAAGGGCATGTCCACCACTACCACCATGGAGAATTTCTATTGTTCTTTCATTCTAAGCAGACTTTACTAACTTTTCTTTTTTTTTTTTTTTTTTTTTTTTTTTTTTAGTTCTGCTGCACACTGCAGGCTGGCCTTAACTCATAACCTTGCTCAAGTGCTGGGTATAGTGGTGCACACCTGTAATCTCAGATGGAAAGTATAAGTAGGTCAGGTTCAAGGTCATCCTTACTACATATGAAGTTTGAGGCTAGTGTGGATTACATGAGACTCTGTCTCAAAAAAATTGAATAAATAAATCTGTCCCCATCACAATGAGATGATATCTGAAAATGATCAGGTTGTGAGAAAACTATCTTCCACACACTACCTTTTTCATTCAGTACCAGTTCTCACCTATTTCGACCATCAGTACAATTGTATTCAGAAAGATGAGGGAGATGATGAATTTCGAGAAGATAGAACCTGTTTTCTTTTAAGGAAACACACAGATAGAGTATTTTGTCATTTATGCAGCTCAAATAACAAGGACAACAGTATTAATATGAGAATTTGAAGAACAAATAACAAGGACAACAATGTCAATAAGAGAATTTTAAGAAAATAGTTTGAAAGAAGAGAAATGTCATTAACAGATAAGGGAAAGCCATGAATAGAAACAAGTGACACTAAAGGATACTCTCAAGAACCCATCCAGCCCATAGGGAAAGAGGTGGTCTCTGACTGCACCGCACACGAAGCCTGCTCAGCATTCGCTGGGAATGTGTGATGTGCCCCATGTGCCGGGGCTTTAGGGAGAAGCGCACTAGCTGGTGCTGATCTCCTGACATGAGTTTCTTCTGGCGAGAAGGATCTACAACAATGGAAAGGTAAATTGGGCATGTCTGTTGTTCAGCTTGAATCTACCGGTACTGGGCAAAACACGAGACTGCCTTCTCTCCCCAGTCTCCCCCAATAACCATGAGGACAGTACATAGATACACAGATGGGGGGCCTGTGGACAGCAAGTAGAGTTGGGGATAGGGATACTGGTTAAATAATAAGACTCTACATGCAGCAGCAGAGCTGCCCTTTTTCAAAGCAACTTGGAATTCTTTTTTTCTTTGGTTTTTCGAGACAGGGTTTCTCTGAATTGCTTTGGAGCTTGTCCTGACACTTGCTCTGTAGATCAGGCTGACCTCGAACTCACAGAGATCTGCCTGCCTCTGCCTCATGAGTGCTGGGACTAAAGGCTTGTGCCACTAATGTCCCACACAACTAAGCATTCTATTAGTATAAAGTGAAAATGTATAGTTCATGCCTCACACTGACAATACTCATGAAAGCAGCAGCTATAAACCTCAAGTTCCAGCTGGCTTAGAACCTGCTATGTAGATCAGGCTCTTTCCCACTCAAACATTCACCAGCTGTTGCCTTCCAAATACTGGGATTTAAGGCATGTGCCACCATAACCAGCCCAGAAACCTCCAAGTTTTAAGTACCTGTGATAGAAACTTTTCAAAGTCAGTATTACCTGACTAGGGCTTTGAAGAAGAGATAGAGGTCTAAAGTTCTGAATTTATCAAGTTTGTGTAGCTTCTCATTCCTAAATTTTCCTTTTATTTGTACTTTAAAAACATGGTGTGTGTTTGTACAACTGCAGGAGTATTTGTCGTCTTTGTATCACATAGGTCCTGAGTATGGAACTCAGGTTTTCAGACATGACAGCAAGTACATTTACTCTCTGAGTCATCTCATTGACCCCATTATTTGAGATAGTTTGATACAACTAATTTTGTCCTCAAACTATGTAACTAGGAATGACCTTGAACTCCTGGTGCCTTCTCCTCCAGAGTGCTGGAATTGTATGTAAGCATCACCCATACCTGTTTTGGTTTCTTTAAAAAAAGAAAAAAAATTGTCTGGCTGGGTGGTAGTCGTCCATACCTTTAATCCCTGTACATGGGAGGCAAGAGACAGGTGGATCTCCTATGAGTTCAAGGCCTGCCTGGTATACAGAGTGAGTTCCAGGACAGCTAGGGCTGTTAAACAGAAAAATCCTGTCTCAAAAAAAATATATATAAGTAAAATAAGTGCGGGGTGTGTGTGTGTGTGTGTGTGTGTGTGTGTGTGTGTGTGTGTGTGTGTGTGTGTGTGTGCCCCAGAGAACAACTTTTTGGGAACCAGTTCTCTCCTCTCAGGTTATCAGTATTGGCAGCAGGCATCTTCACTCACTAAGTCATCTTGCTAGCCCTATTTTTGGTTGTTTTTTAAAATCAGGATCTTGCTATGTAACCCAGGCTAGTATCAAACTTGTGATCACTCTGACTCAGTCTTATACCACTATTCCTGGCTCCACCCTTAAGTATGTTTCTGCTTCTTATCTTCAGAGGATGTGGGCAAGAATATTACATTTAGTGTGAACGAACAGAAGCTAACCAAGTATCTCCCGGAGAGTATGCCTTGGTACTGCTTGGCTCAAGCCTTGCAAATGCTCTATGAGGGAGAAAGTGTCAACAAGCCGTGAACGGATGGCATCAGCTCTGGGCAGCGGTATGTGTCCTCGTTCCTGTGCCATGTCTGTTAAGAAAATAGAACCAAGGGTCATTCCATTCTCAAGAGCTTCATTAGGATTAAGGGGTTTTCCCCCCGTTTTTCCCCCTCCTCCCCACCTTTGCTTTTCAGAGATTTAAGGAGCCCATACAAAGAAACCATGAGCACTTAAGAGCAAACAAACACATTGAAGGACTCAAAAATTTTGTTTTGATTTTTTGTTTATGCAAAAGTTAGAGGAACAATACGTGATATTTCCACGGTCAACTAAATATCCAGGTATTTCCATTTTCTGACAGCATTTGTGATTAATATTTCTTTTTAAAAAGCTGGCCATGAAGGAACATACTAGTAATCTCGAGAGGCTGGTGGATCTCTGTTGAGTTAGAGACCAGCCTGGTCTACATATCTATCTAGTTCCAGGCTAACAAGGGCCACACTGTGATAGTTTGTCTAAAAATAAAAAAAGAGCTGAGCCCGAGCCTGGTGGTGCAGACCATCGGGACCTAATACACAGGAGGCCGAGGCCAGCGGATGGGAAAGTTGTAGGCCGGCCAGAATTATAGAACAGTATTATAGGATGAACTCAAGGCCAATTGAGGAAACTTAGTGAGATCACCTTTTACAAAGTTAAACGAGGACTAAGTCTAGGGATATAATTCAGCGACGGATCACTTGCCCAGCACTGTGCAAGGTTCCCGGTTCAGTCCTCAATTACCCACCCTCTCGAACAAACGAATAAACAACAGCAATCAGTGAAAAAGCAGCAGGCAGGGCAGGACGGCAGAAGGCCTATTAGGGCTGGACAAAGAGCACAGACTTCACGTGGACTTGACAAAGCAGGATACGAGGTAGGGCAGCAGCAGGATGTAGGGTTACAACGCCCTATAATTGGACAAATCGAAAGCCTGGACTTTGGGAAACGTGTCGTATTGTGCTCAAGTGTGTGGGCACACCAACGCCGTGACGGGGGGAAGGGAGTGGGGCAGCTCAAGCTGCCCTCCCGGCGGCTTCTGGGCCTCCCTTCAGCCCCAGCGCACTTCCGCCCACTCAGCCCTGACTTCACCCCTCCGCCTCCCGCGCCGGCGCGCTGAGCTCCACTCCGCCTCCGCCGGCCAAGCTCAGGGCCGCGCCGGCGACGCAGAGCCCCACTTCCCGCCGACCCCCGCTGCGGCCTCCGCTACAGCCGGGCCCGCGGGCGTTCGCCACAGCGTCCGCTCCGCCCCGCCCCGCGCGCCCGCCAATCGGCAGTTACCAGCTGGTTCATCCCGCCCGACGCAGCGGGATGCAGCCAATCGGCGACTGCCACACTGCGGCCCGAGCCGGCCTAGGGGGTTGGGACCTCGGCAGCAGGTCTGCCCGGGCCAGACGCGCGAGCGCAGGCAGCGGCTGCAGGTGCGGGAGCTCCCTTCTCTGTCCCCCGGCCCCGACCCTCCGACCGCCCCGGCCGCGTCTCACCGCCATGCGCTTCAGCCGCCTAGCGCTGCTCCCGGGCGTGGCGCTGCTGCTCGCCTCGGCCCGCCTCGCCGCCGCCTCTGACGTACTGGAACTCACGGACGAAAACTTCGAGAGTCGCGTCTCCGACACGGGCTCAGCGGGCCTCATGCTAGTCGAGTTCTTCGCCCCTTGGTGAGGCCACTGTGCGGGATCAGGGCCGGAGGATGGGCTGGGCCCGGGAGCGGTTGAGCCTACGCAGCGCGGGCGCCCTCCACTATCCATCGGGCCTGGCTGCGGCTGCCTCCTTGTCAGTGGCAACCCGGAGGCGCTCCGGTGGGGGTGGGGGCAGATCCAGAAAGGAAGAAGCCTAGGTTCCCGCTTAGGGCCACGTCCCAACCTCCGTGTTGCTGCATTTCCTATGGAGAATTTATCCATCCCCTCCCCCTCCGATCTGTATCTTTCAGTAGCTAGGTGAGTCAGTGTAGACGTCCTCTAGTCTACAGGCCAGGCAGGCATCCCAGAGCCTTAGGGAGGAGCAGAGAGAGGTACAGGTCCTGGATCCCAAGGTATTTCCTTTCTCTTGTCCCCACTCCAGAGCCATTGGTTTCTAACCAAGGTCACTCACTGGCTGCAGAATGATCTTAAGTGCTTCCTTGAGACAGGCCGTTAATTTTGTCCATGCCATAGCAAACAATATTTTACATTAAGCTGCAGAGGCGTCCATCAAAAAGAGAGTAAATGAACATGAATAATTGCCCTAGGATCTATCATAATTGTCAGCTTTAGGTAATGATAGAAAATGGTAAGACTCACAATGAGAAAGTAACCACTGAGAAGTATACCATTCAGGGGCCACTTAACCTAACAAAAGCCTATGTAGTTAGAGTGTGACCCCCACATAAGAACTTGCTTGGGAAGGGAGAGTAAATAGGATGTCTGGTTTTGTCACTTATGTGGGGTGTGTTGGGTAATTTAAAAATTATTACCACAGAAAACTAATTAACACAGAAATAGCTTAATAGGTATTTTTTGCCCTCCTTGCACAATGACCCTTAATTCAAAACTATTCCAAAGTGGTAGTAAAACAGTGTCTTTAACAGTTACACTATAACTTGTCTTTGCTTCTGACCAGTGGAGTTGCTACATTCCAAGTTTATCAGACTGATTTAGATGGGGCACATTCAAAAGTCCTCCAGTGAAGATTGCCTGAATTAGAAGGCTATCCTAGAGGCAGGAAGCAAATTGTGCTTCAGCTTGGGATATTTTGTGTTTCAGGGCATTCTGTGGCTAATGTACTGATTACACATTATAGATAACATTTATAGTCCCCTAGAATTCATGTTCTCTGTTAGAAACAATTTATCATAGTTATATAATCATGCTGTTAACTTTGAGGGTGTCAATTGGGTCCTTGACTGAAGAGGTCATACATTTGGAGAATTGTGGGCTGTTACACATATAGTTTAATGCAATTTTTAGTTAAGCCTTTGGGATACAGCTCAGTGCTTGCCTAGCATGTTCAATTGCCATTGTTGAAATATATGTGTGTGTGTGTGTTATTATTTAAAGCTTTTTCCCCCCCTTCCGAGACAGGGTTTCTCTGTAGTCCTGGCTGTTCTGGAACTCACTCTGTAGTCCAGGCTGGTTCTTCTCTTTTTCTTAAATTAGTTCTTTATCGTCCAGGCTAACTTAAAACTCAGGATCTTCTTGCTTTGGCCTCCTTTTTTTCTTTGGAGAAAGGGTCTTGTGTAGCCTAGTTGGGCCTTAGTCTGATCCTCTTGCCTCTATCCTGAATTCGACACCACACCTGACTTCAGGTTTGTCTTTCTCCTAAAAATGGTTGCACCTGTTTTCCTCAAGACTACATATCCCATCATTCATTGAGCCATCAAGAGTTGGGTGGATTTCTGCTGTGGTGTCTGCTTTTAGTAGGCTTAGAAGATAAAACCATCTCCCCCATTGCAGGCAGGAGAGAATGGTTTTCTGAATGAGCAGTTGGAAGTGAAAGAAGTCTCCTGTTAGTACTAATCTATTTTAACAATTGGACTTTTTGTTTGTTTGCTTGCTTGCTTGTTTTTCTGAGACAGAGTCCTAAGTAGCTCAGGCTGGGCTTATATTCCTCATCCTGTGCCTCTGCCTCCCAAATGCTGGGATTATAAACCGCCCCACCAAGCTCTGAAGATTTAGTTTTATTTATTTACTTTTTCCTCTTGCACATAACAACAGGAGGGCTCTCGTCTGTTAGAGTGATCTGTTAATGAAGAATTTTGAGATAGAGTCTCACTGTATAGCTGTGGCTGACCTGAACCTGATCCACATGCCTCTGAGTTCTGAGACATCACCTTTAACAGTAAGATGGAGACTGGAAAGATGGCTCAGCAGTTAAGAGCACTGGTTCTTCCAGAGGACCTGGGTTCAAACCTCCCAACCCATATGATGGTTCACAACTGTTTGTAACTCCAGTTCCCTCTGGCTTCTGCAGTCATTGTACACACATGGTGCACAGACATACATGCAGGCAAAACACCTATACACATAAAAATAAAGAAAAAGTATGTTAGGGGGAGTCTGTGGGGAGATGGCACAACACTAAGGGTGTGTGTTGCTGTTGCAGTAGCACATCTGGCCTCCTTGGACTCTTTGGACATGCATTCATGTGAACATACCCATAATTGGGGAGGGGGACTTCAAAGTGGAGTCTGGGGCTGCGGTTTAGTGAGATAAAATTGCCTGCCAATCTCATGCAAAACCCTAGGTTCCATCTTCTTTTAGGTCTGCCCTTCTCCCTGCTCTTCCTGCTCTTTTAATTTTGTAAGTGAAAATGAAAGATTTCGACAGGAGGTGCTGGTGCATGCCTTTAATCCCAGCCTGGTCTACAGAGTGAGTGCCAGGACAGCCAGAAATAAACAGAAACCCTCCCTCAAATCAAGAGAGAGAGAGAGAATGAAAGATTTCTCTGCAGGCCACTGTTTCCATTATTAGATATGTTTTATTTGAAACAGTATTTCATGTAGTGGAGGCTGTCTTATCGCCACCTCCTAGATACTTAGATTACAGGTGGGAGTTACTTTGTTTGGCTGACGTGTACATTTGTAGGAATATGATTATCTGAAATTTTCTGTGAGAAATGACAGTGTTTTGTCTTAAACATGTACTGTGTTGTAGATTTCAGTGGTGTTCTCTGAACATTTACTTACCCACTGGTGCTAAGGGCCAAACCCATGACTTTCACCTGCACTTGGCACTCAGTACTATTACCCTCTACAACAAGAGCAATAAGTAATATTTGTTGTACAGTGTTTCTAAATGTGTAGAGAAATACAAGCAGGTATTATAATGGAAATTTATGTGTGTTTGCAGATATGTTTGTTTTGACATGCACATATGTGTGCACAATTTGGGGCTAAGGCTGACAGCATGTCTTCCTTGATTGTTCTCCACCTTATTCATTGAATCTCGGTTGAACCCTAGTCTTGCACATAAGACTAGTAATTCCTGCCTCCTTGGGGCTGGAATTACAGGCAGGTGACCATTATCACCTAGGATTCACTTTGGGTACAGGGGATCCAAACTCTGGCCCTTGTCTACAGTACAAGCACTTTACCCAGTAAGCTATGT